CTGGCAGTGGCCGGAGACCATGACTGCACACCTTCAGCCGATCATACCTCGAGCGAATTTCTCATTAAACGAAAAATCCCGGAGGCAATGAAAGAGCGTACGTACCGCTGAGTCCATGTACTCTCTCCCAACTTCTTGGTGTATTGTGTGTTTTCTTTTTGGTTCGATATCTTTTCTGGATTCAAGGCGCAACGGTGTCTGGTAATGACTATTGAAGGATGGGGCGTTTTGGCATTGAACTCCTCTCTTTCCCTTAGCCTTGTCTGCTGGCATCCTTGAGACATACTATCGCCACTCTTCTGTGTACTATACCCTGTTACAGACTAAAAAAAGACCCAAAGCAATGATGGAATCACTTGTTACATATGGAAAGTCGTTTTGTAGGAATTGCGCCTTTCACCAGATTCTACAGCCTGCTAGTCATTATCGTTCAAACTATACGAGAAAAAGAATTTCCAAACTGAGTAAGAATAGCAAGTGTGAAGACAAGGTAACTTGAGTTTAATAATCATTGGCTTTCTACGAAAGAAAATGAGGGAGATGGGGAGACGTTTCGGGGCTGATACTGTTCTCTCAGTTGATATAACAAAAAGAATAGTAAGACACTGGGACCATCTTTACTTTAAGCATGCTTGCTACTATGTCCCTCTATGTACCTATGTACATTACTCGGTCTTTTTGTGCACAGCAGGCGACTTCAACAAGCCGAAAGCCGCAACTGTGACGGCACACATGGCGAACCCGCCAGCAGTATAAGCAGCCTCACGGCCAGCCCACCAAAACAGGGAGCAGAACACAATAGGGCCAGTCGCTCTACCAGCCTGCCCCCATCCCCGCAAACGACCCATAACAGCGCCGCGATCCGCGTCCTGCGCCTCGAAGCTGCCCAGGCTGTTGAGTGAGGTGACAACCGTAGCGGTCGTTACCGCCAACAGAGCACCCGCAGCATAGAGACCAGAGGGCGAAGAAACGCGAGAAAGACAGAAGAATGAGATAGTACAGGCCACAACACCAGCACGTAGGGTGATCAGCGGCGGGAGACGGCGCACCAGCGTACCCTGGAGGAGGGAGGCGATCAAGCCCATTAGGGACAAAAGACGTCCGTTCAATGCAGCAGGGCTAGCCGTCGTGGCTGATCCCGCGTATAGAGTGGTAGTGAGGAAGGGGAGGGAAAACTCCAGACCGGAGAAGGGGAGAAGGAAGAAAAAGTGGAGGGCATTGAGAAGGGCGGGGCTATTTGTATGGGTGCGCTTAGCGGGGGGACTGCTCTTCTCTTCTGTCTTTTTACTTGACGCATCATTCTTCTCGGTGGAGGTACTCTCGCCCTCCATCGGAAGAGTCGTCAAGCGGGGATGCGTCTCGGGCAAACAGGTCCAAAGATACACAGTCTCCATAAAGATCAGAGCAAAAGAAACAATTGCAGCGACAATGAACGGGTTCTCGGCAACCACATTGACAGTACTGAGTGCTGCACCTAGCGCCGGCCCAAAAGTGAACGCAACGCTGAAACAGGCCCCGATCAATGCCATAGAGGAGCCGCGGCGATCCTCGTCTGTGACATCCGCCACAATGGCATTGGCCATTTGCACATTTGCTTCGCTCAAGCCGCCAACGATACGACTGGCGAGGAATGTGCGGAAATCCGTCGCCGATACCCACAGCGCGACGCTCAAGAGGTTGCCTAGCATGGAGACGAGCAGGGCGCGACGGCGGCCATGACGGTCAGATAGGCGGCCTATGACGGGTGCAGCGAAGGCTTGGAGGAGGGAGAACAAAGAGCCGAGGGCACCACCGAGGAGTACAATGTCATAGCGCGAGTCAATGGGGCGCGCGAAGGAGTTTTTGTAGGCATTTAGGTAGTGGAAGATGCGGTTGAGGAGGGAATCCGGGGACGGATCTTGCATGCGATAGAACGATAGCAGCGAAGGGAAAAGGGGCAGAATGAATGTAAAGGAGATCTAAAGGCGTTGTTAGTTGAGTAAATGTGATTGTTGGCTTAGAGGGGGATATCTTGGTGTTACCAAATCTAACAACAGTGACAGTATCAACACCTTCAGCACCTCCTTACGTTGGGCGCCAGCGACGGCCATGGTTGCTGGCGCCGTATATACAATGGAAGATGTAAGGAGGGAGGAAAGAAGCAAAAATGTGCAATGACAAGAATCTCGAGAAGTTGACAGTTGTACAAGAGTACGAAGATCATTTTAATCAGATCGAATACGCCAGCTCCACTGACATTTCCTATCGTGGGTTAGCGCCTTTCTGTATCCAAAAATGCGCTAGTAATAAACAAATACACCTTTCAGGCGTATTTGGTTATTTTCATTAGGTCATGCATAATTGCACCGAAATTTCGGTCTTGTGTAATAGTATTACATTATCTAGGTACGCTAATGCAATCCCGGCTATAGTGGAGATGTGGAATCATGTGATATAATATAGCGACTACATACATGTACCTACTAGGTACTACATACAACAGTTATGTATGTACATATCATCAGCCACATATGTATTGACTATTGTCCAACTATTCAAGTAATAGACCTAGTAAATCTTTTCCAACGAAAGAGGCCCATATTGAAAGGCATTGTTATCTAGAGCAAATCCTGGAAAGTAATGGTGCACTCATTATGATCAATTTCGATCTATGCCCAACCTAAGCCTGTCCACCGGTCCATTCGCAAGCGCCGATAAAAACAATAGCCATAGAATACATGTGTATGTCATGAGAGAAGCTCTCTGGGGATCGGGAATATGCACGCTGAAAAAAAATTGCAGGACATGGTCAAGAAGACTTTGGCAAAGCCAGACGAAGAGATCAAAGCGACTCTCCGTGAAGAAAATTCGTTGCATTCGTGAGCCATCACATCGGACCAGAAATTGTCGAGGCCAGTCCCGAGAAGACAGACCCAGAAATCACTCGTTGGAACATCAATTTGGAGACTTACTCCCCAAACTAGCATGTTCCAATTAACACCCTAGGATTGCCACTCTTACTCGCTGGAAGCAGGAGCTTCCGCCGAGCCAGAGGTAGGGCCACTTGCACCGCCTCGACCACGTCCGCCACGACCGCCTCGTCGTCCTCCACGTCCACGACCCTCACCACCACCACTACGACCCTCACCGGCACGAGCCTCACCACTGCGACCCTCACCAGTACGACCCTCACCAGTACGCTTAGCGTCATTCCGGCCTCGGCCACCACGCTGTCCGTGACGGCGGCGTCCACCAGACTTGGCACCGTTCTCACCCTGAGTAGTCACATCAGCGCCAACGGAGCTATTGTTCAAACCCGCGTCAGGGCTAGCCGGGGTAGCCTGGAGGCCAGTGTCGGTCTCCTCAGGGTTGCGAGGAAGCTTGACCCATTCACTGCTCTCATCGGAAGTAGGAGCCCAAGTTTGTTCCGCAATAGGGTTTCCACCGTCAGAAACTAGAGTCTGGGTAGGAGGGGCCACCTGATCAGCTTGGGAAGCTGCAGGCTCAACCTGAGCGCCGAGAGAGGTATCCTGGAGCTCGGTCAGACCGGCATTAGCCATGGTGGGGTCGGTCGTAGGGTCGGTGGCGTGGGTTGCCTCTGGGGCAACTTCGGGAGCCTCGTCGGGCGGGGCGAACTTGTCAGATGCTTGCTTCACATCGCCATCTAAATAGATATAATGTCAGCGAGCACATCCAAGGATATTTGATTCGGGGGGGGGGGGCCTTCGTTACTAACAGGTAAAATCAAGGGTGGTGCCTTCAACAGTATTGACCTTCTCATCGGCACCCTCAGCAATCTTCAGTAGCGAATTGACTGCAGATTGGTTGCCAGCGTACACCTCGAACAGAACACCCTCAAATGCACGGCTCTCAGTGCTGACGGCATCGCCGTCGCGTCGAAGGATGGCTGCGGCGCACAAGAACTTAGTCACGGTATAGAGCTGCTGGCGCAGTATCTTCTTGGAGGCCTCAGTCGCATCAGCAATGGCGTTATTACGGACAGCTTCGAGCTCTGCCTCATGCGCCTTGACAAGCGCAGCTTTCTGAGCAGCCAGACGGTCCTCGTATTGGGCAGCGAATTGCTTGTAGTGGCCAATCTGCTCCTCAGTCTGCGCAACGGTGGCCTGAAGGGAAGGCTTCTTAAGGACCTGGGCCTTCTGGTCGTTGTTGATCTTCTTCTCTTCAATCAGGTCATCAAGCGACTTGTCGGGGTTTTCGGCGATGATGGCATCCACTTTGCCGAGAGAGTTCTAGCGAAGAGGACAGTAACGTTAGAAATGTATTGAAAGAAACAGATTGAAACCAAAGATCATTCAATAATGACTCACCAACTTCTTCATGGCATTGCGAAGTGTCCTAAACGGGGCATACAGTTAGCTCACTTTCACTTGCGCATTGGCAATAACCACGCCACCAGGTTTGTTAGATTTTAAACATACTTCTGCAGCTCCTTCAAGTAGGTATTCTCCTGAACATCAGAGTTAGGACTCTCCGGGTCCTTAGAGACGCTTGAAGACCGGGAGCCCTTCTCCTCGTCCTTGAGCTTCTGGGTAGCGGAAGCGGGAGGCATGATGGGAATGTAACACAGATATTAAAGTATTTCCGAAAAGCTTGTACAGGTCTTGAAGAATTAAACGTGATAACGTTGAAGAAAAGATGGGTTGTTATGAAGGAAGAATCAACATGCGGGTCGGGGAACCCTTTCTTGGTCGGTGTGGCCCACTGGCTTTGGGCAGACTCTCTCTCTCTCTCTCTCTCTCTCTATGCGTTAGCGCAAAGCAATTAGGCAATCATAGAACTGGACTACGTCTATAACTACGCAATTTACCAGGTAACAGATTTGTTATTTGATTTCTTCCATTGTATTGCTCCAGGGTATCATATTCACATTCGCCCACAACGCCATAATATCACAAAATGCAAGACCTTAGTACAGTATCCTCGCCTTTCATATCCATGCTAGGCAGGTCTTCGCCATAATGACAGATCGAGGTTGATATAGGTTCATATCATGGGCTCTTCTATCCCTGGAACTTGCGCAGTGTTTTCTAAACCCCATACTTTGTCAGCTTTGTGTTCTCACGTGGCTCCTAGAAAAGCTCTTAGATCGACCAGAAACAACGCACCTCAGTGACTTTGCGCACGGTATTCGCTGAGATATTCTTCTCGCCAGACTTGCGTGACCGAATCGATGCCTCGCGCATTAACCTACAATCCGTCAGCCCCATCGTCAGTTCAATCATGTCGAGAATGCAAATCGGAGGGTTGCGACCGGTGGACCAAGCCAGAAGGATAGATGAAGACGCACTCTTGCATGAATAGTATGTAGTCCAAGAAGATCTTTAAAGATAGTATTAGCAACTGGATAATAGAGAGGCGTCATATAGGGACGACCACGTACCAGGATATCGGCATTCTTGCTCACGCTCCGATTGGAGTGGGCTTTGACAATTCGCTTGACTGTTCCTCGTGGATAAAGTTTCTGGACTGCCATAACGATTAGAATAGAGAAGATGGTGAAATGGATGACGAGGTGTTCAATTGTTCAATGTTTACCCCCCCAAGAAGGATGTGGGGAGCTCTCGAATCCGACCGAATACCGCAATGATCTGTTTCTTATGTAATTTGGTATTTGATGGATGTCCAAAACATGTGACCTATATCGCATGATGTATGTAAATCTTCATTTCATATTATATACAATCTTTATTACAAACTGTTATATAATGTACACTTCAACGCAGTCGTCGAAGAATCCGCCAAGCTGAAATACCAGCAATTGAACCAATGACGACACGCCAGGCCAGGAAAACCCAGATTGCCATGCGCAAGCGGTCATAATACCCGCGGAGCATGATCCCAACAGCATAAGAAGTCCCATCTCTTGCTTGGTCTGTCGGTCCGTAATATCTTCCTACCCCGAGGCCACCCATGCCCACTTCATTGTGGTCATGTTCAACATTCGTCTCCTGTGTGACTGAGAGTGCGGCCGTTTCGCTATCAGCGGCCGTGTTACTGGGACGAGCACCCGATCTCACATTGAGTGCATTACGCTTCCGCAGATTATATGTCACGATGCTCACAATCAGCCGCAGATCAGGAACGGTAAAGGTTGGATATTTCCACAACTGCACAGCCTGATGGGGAGGGAGCATATCCAAGAAGTCAGCCAGAATGCCGAGGGTGAGACCCCAGAGGAGCAGCGGGCGGGCAGTGTCACTCGAATCTGCTTGCCCACTTAGGCACCACCCTTTGAAGCGCTCCACCAGGGAAGGTTTGAGTATATTCTCTTCAGGAACAAATCCTGGAATTGTAGTGCATTGATGAGTTTCCGACGGGAGGAGCCTCACGGCCGAGAACTGCATCCAGCCCATCAGAGACCTAATTGCAAGACGGGTCAGAAACCCGCCTTGTCGAGCGAAGCGCTGCGACATATCCACATATTCCACGGTCCGCAGTGATGGTGATAGGAGAGCGCGCAGGGGGATCCAATGTGTGGATGCTACTTCTGTGGGCTGCAATCTGAGGGTCGGGGAGTCGCTGCGAGTCGTGAGGAAGACGAAGGGACAAAGAACCATCAACCTGCCATTCAGTCAGTAATCCAATTCTCAGCGGCGAAAGTGAATGGCATTCGTACGGTTCGGACCCCCAGCTGGTAGTGACCACCCGCTCAGGGAGATTGCCCACACTAATTGTATCTTCCGTTGTCAAATCCAATCCGATTTCCTCTGAAGCTTCCCTGATAGCTGCAGCCTTGTCATCTACATCTTCCGGATCTCGCTTTCCACCCGGTAGGGCAACATGGCCAGTCCATCGGTCCCCCCACGCGCGAAGCACGCTTGATGAACAGAACCTCCGGTTCGCCATACTGGACCCAGGGATGTGAAAAGAACTCATCTAAACGTTGTTGGACTGGCTGAGAAGCATCATTTGCGAGGTTCGTGCTGGGCCAATGGTCGTAGGTTGGTCGTACCCGAATAATCAAGGCAACCGAGGCGCGTTTCTTGCAGGTTGGGGGATTTGGGACGTAAGGATAAGGTTGGCGATGTAGCTCGGTTAATACGCCATGCAGATGATGGGACAGGCCTGGAGCTGCAGACTTGGGCTCCATCAAGTTGTATAGTTGGTACGGAGTACTCGGTATGTAATATTTAGATGTCAAAAGGGCTGGATTGTGGAGGATATGGGTATCGGACAAGCCTATGTGCACGTACCTCTTTCTGTCCCGGCAGGGGCGATATCGGTCTGGCCCGTTCACTCCCCGTACTGTAAAATAATACATACTTACATAATACTCTCGGAACATCAATTATCCAGACAGCTAGTAATCCCCAGTCCACTGATGGACCCTGATTGGCTTCATCCAACGAGCACGTGCGTCTATCGCTGGCTACGAATGCTTTCAGTCTAAAGCTGCTGCATGTCCATCGCTTAGCTTCAAGCTAATGAGCTATTTTTTTTTGGCGTCTACGCATATCTTTCGATCGGCAGTTGAATATCAACTCTTACTTTGTTTTTTATTTTCTAAAGTTCGATCTCATATCCTCTCTCATCTCTTCCCCCCTTCCAAACCCCCCCCCCCCAATCAGAGGTGCACACCGGCCAGCTCTGCGTAACAACTGCACAACGCCATTGACAACCGGACTGGCTCAAAATGCGGTTTGGAAAAACCCTCCGCGCTGCGGTGTACCCTCCCTGGAAAGGGAAGTACATTGACTACACCAAGCTTAAGACCTTGCTGAGAGAGAATGATGTCACCCGGAACGGAGAAGACGCCAGTGACTCGGATGACGATCAATGGACTGAGCAAGATGAGGAAGCTTTTGTGCAGGAACTGCTTAATGTAGAACTGGACAAGGTAAATTCTTTCCAAGCAGAGACATCGCAACAACTCCGAGAACGGACAACAGCATGTGAAGTTAAGCTACGACCCTTGGCATCTACCCGGAGCAAGAAACGCCCCCTCTCGATGAACAGAAGAAAAGGGCCATTGCCTCAGAAGTTCTGCAAGAGCTCGATAACATCACCAAGGAAGTCAGTGCCTTGGAAAAGTACAGCCGAATCAATTTCACTGGTTTTCTTAAGGCTGCAAAGAAGCATGACCGCAAACGAGGAGCCCGATACCGGGTGAAACCTTTGCTCCAAGTGCGACTGTCGCAACTGCCATTCAACTCAGAAGACTATTCGCCGTTGGTCCATCGGCTCTCGGTGATGTACTCCTTTGTTCGAGAGACCCTTAGCCATGACATCGTGCAACCAAGGGAAACAGAGCATGGATTTGGCCGCGAGACCTACTCGTCTTACAAATTCTGGGTTCACTCAGACAACGTTTTGGAGGTCAAGACTCACATTCTTCGTCGATTGCCGGTTCTCATCTACAGGCCGGGAACTTCCAAGGACCTCGATACCATGACTGAAGACCCCACCATTACTTCCCTCTATTTCGATTCCCCTCGGTTTGATCTCTACAACCAAAAGGTCGCACGAGCACCCGAAGCCGGATCCTTGCGACTGCGGTGGACAGGATCACTAAAAGACAAACCTGCTATCCAGTTGGAAAAGAAGATTGTCACCGACGACGACGAAAGTCGACAAGTCAAGGTACAGCTCAAAGACAAGCACATTAAGGAATTTTTGGACGGCGAGTATCGCTTTGATAAGAAGCTCCACCGCATGGAGGATTCGAACAATGGAGATTCGGCGGCCGCCGAAGCCTTGAAAAAGGATGTGGATGAGCTGCAGTCATTCATCAAGGACAATGACCTGCAACCCATGCTCCGGGCCAACTACACGCGCACCGCCTTCCAGATTCCTGGCGATGATCGAATTCGTATTTCCCTCGATACCAACCTTGCACTCATCCGGGAAGATGCCCTCGACAGTGAACGTCCATGTCGCGATCCAGCTGAGTGGCACCGTACGGACTTGGACGATGCCGATATGACTTATCCCTTCAACGCTGTCAGGACTGGAGAGATCACTCGCTTCCCTCACGCTTTGCTCGAGATCCAGCTTCGAGGCAAGGCTCATAATACCGAGTGGGTCAAGGACCTGATGGTCTCCCACCTTGTCAAGGATGCTCCCCGCTTCTCCAAGTTCGTCCACGGTGTTGCCTCGCTATTTGAAGATTATGTCAACAGCTTCCCCTTCTGGCTTGGTGAGCTTGAAAGTGATATTCGTCGTGATCCCGAAACTGCATTCCATGAGGAGCAAGAGCGACTGGCTCGACGAGCGGAGGAGAACATTGCAGTAGGCAGCTTCATGGGAGACGCGCGTAGCCCCAGTGTTCACCCACTCGGGTCACCTTACCGATACTCTAGCGCAGGCTCTCCCTCGGTCATGCGGAGATCCTCAGCAGTCACCGAACCTGCAGCGCGGCACCCACGTCCCTCAGTCGCAGAGCCCCAGCGCCGTGATACCGAACCCGCTCCCGAAGTAGAAGAGCCCGAGCCGCCCACTCGCCTCGAGTCCATCTTTCAATCCTTGGGCCTATCTCCTCAGCGTTGGCTTGGAACGGAGTCTGTCTCTCTGCCGCCTGGTGTTCGACACCCCGGCGTCTGGATCAAAGATTCCGGGCCCGTTCGCGTGGAGAGCAAGGTTTACCTTGCCAACCAGCGAACGTTTATCAAATGGCTTCACATCAGTATCCTCCTGTCGAGTTTGTCATTGGGCCTGTACAATGCTGCCGGCAAACACAACCAAGTAGCCCAGGCACTGGCTGTCGTCTACACATTCTTTGCCATCTTCGCCGCGGTCTGGGGATGGTTCATTTACGAGAAACGGGCCAGTCTCATCCGCCAGCGGAGTGGGAAGGATCTAGACAACATGTTCGGTCCTATCGTAGTCTGCATTGGTCTGGCAGTTGCCTTAGTCCTGAACTTTGTCTTCAAGGTTAGATTTCCCAGTCGTTTTGTTTCAACCCGGCCTTCTCGCTAACTCGTTAACAGTATTCCTCGGCGCTAAGTCAAGGCCGCAACCACCCGCTTCCTAGTGTGCCTGTTCACTCTAACTCGTCAGTTGTTTTTGACAGCAACTCAGGAGGTTCGTGGGGCAACCTGGACCAGGCCCAGCAGGTTCTGTAATAGTCTTTCTGGGGCTTTTTTATTTGGACATATGGCCTATGAACCCCATGGCTGGCCTTTGGGGCTATCAGGCCCCAACTATGTGCATCTGTGCTTTAGTGTAGTTGTTGAGCAATAGCGTGTACTTCAAAATAACATCCTTCTGGGGCACTTGTGGTATATATCAATTACTTCTCTTATCCAACGTGTATTCATTTATACCAAATACATGAGAGCTCTTAGAAGATTGGAGATCTTCAAGACATACATAAACCAAACGCGGGACCTCGGGAGTACCGCCCGGGCGAATATAAAGGCTTACAAATCGACTGTCATCCCCGAGATCCCAAGGACAAAGCTCCAGAAAAAAAAAAAGAAAAGAAAAGAAAAGTACAAGATATCCCAAATTTAAACACATCTCTCTCTATTTCCTCGCCATCGACATCCTTGACACAATGACGAACTTCCAGATCCAGATCATCTCAGACACCATCTGTCCCGTAAGTATTCCAACCATATACGGATGTACACCCATTCATCCATATCCTCCAATTCCACATACTAACAATATTAAAAAAAAAACAAGTGGTGCTATGTCGGCTACCGCCGCCTCTCACGAGCAATAACCAGCCACCAAGCCACGTACCCAGCAGACACATTCAGCCTACACTGGAAAGCATTCTACCTCAACCCGGCAGGAGCCGAGTATCCCGGCGTGAACAAAGCCGAGATGTACGCCCGGAAATTCGGGGCTGAGCGCATGGAGGCGATCTTCGCGCGCCTATCTGCTGTGGGCAAGGATGAGGGGATCCAGTTTAGTTTCGGCGGGAATTCTGGTCTCACGCGGGACTCGCATCGCTTGCTTTGGTTCGCTGGGCAGCGGGAGGCTGAAGAGGCTAAGAAGGAGGGTGTAAATGGTGGTGTTGTTGGTGGGTTGCAGACGAGGGTTGCGGAGCAACTGTTTCGGGCTTATTTCGAGGAAGAGAAGAATATTACCGATTTGAAGGTTCTTTTGGAGGCGGGTGTTGGGGCGGGGTTGGATCGAGAGACTGTGAAGAAGATGTTAGATGAGGATGTTGGTGCTCAGGAGGTTGATTTGGAGGCCAAAACGGCGGCCAGGAGGTTGGTTTCTGGTGTGCCGTACATCTCGGTGCAAGGGAAATATCACGTTGAAGGGGCTGATGAACCCGAGGTCTTCATGGAGATCTTTGAGAAGGTGAAGGCCGAGCAGAAGGAATAAAGAACATCGTTAGGAGCCCAATCAGAATGTTCTATTGATTCCTTCCTACACTGATCTCATTGCTATGGTCGTCTGTATAGTTCTATCGACATGCCGTAGCAAGTAAAGCTACTCGGACTATCAAGCAAAAGCGCTGGTTTTATCTTGGTGCATTTGTGTGTCAAAGATATCTGCACGAAAATGGAATGTCGAGTGACCTGTCAGTTCCAGCCCATAAAGCTAGTGAGTATCCCAGGTCATGAAAGTACACAGATTAACGCCTGTCATGCAACGAATGTCTGGGTCATCTGTTCAAAAAAAAAAAAGAAAAAGGAAAAGAAAAACCACCCCGAAAAGAACAGTGGAGGGGGGAAAGGCATAGATAATACATATTCAAGACGCAAATAGGAAATAAAAGTCAAGGATACAGCCCAGGAAAGAGCAGAAAAGTGAAGAACGTAAAACGACCAGAGCCTCAAACCTCGGCCAAGTCGTTTCACAAATGAGGTCATGATAGATCGTAGCAAGTCATGGAATTTTGAACTCCATGTTCAAATTCTAGGGGCATTTAGTGGGTCGTCTGTGCTTTGACCTGATGCAGTTCGTAATTGGGAAGGTAATCGAACCAGTCGGTCTCGGGATTGTAGCGGTATGCCTTGAACTCTACACCATATGGCTTGGGCTCAAGCATGTACAAAACGCCCATCGGAACATCGAGGTCAGCGACCTCGTCACGCTTCAAGCCGCGGAAATAGGCCAGGAGCACGCGAGCAACAGATCTATGCCCGACCAGGAGCACATGGTCTGTAGTGCGCTCTACCTCGACAATAACCGTACGCGATCGATTGATGATGTCGAGGTAGCTTTCTCCGCCTGGTCCGGGGTATCTGTAGAAGAGTTTATCTTTCTTGCGGTGGGCGTACTCCTCGGGGTACTGCTCTTGGATTTCCTTGTATGTCATGCCTTCCATCCTGCCAGAATGAATTTCGTCCAGCATCCTCATCTGCTTAACATCGTACTCATCCTCGTTGAAGTATTCTGCTGTTTGAACGGAGCGTTGCATCATTGAGGACCAGACACAGAAGTTGCGTGGCCCTTCCTGGGGAAGATAAGATGGGTTGGGAGGTGTGATGTCACCGGCTCGAGGCGGGAAGTGCTTAAGAAGGTCTTTCTGTCGCTGATATGCTTCCCACTGCTTCCGCTGGTGATCCACGAAGCGAGCCAACGCCTTGGCATACCTTCTGCCGTTCTCGCTGAGATCAGAGTCACCGCCAATACGACCTGCGGCATCATCCAAACTTTCGCCGTGTCGTGTGATCCAAATTTGGCGTGGAGAGAGATTGAAATTGAGCAAGTAGTAGACGACTTGAGAAGCAAGGAAGCCATGGGTTTGGTGAGCGACGACTTTACGACCGACATCGATCATCTGAATGAAAGCCATACGATGCTTCTCCTCATATTCGCCGAGAGGCACGTAGGACTTTTCGTAGAGAGCAACACGCTTCTTGAAATCTTCAAGTGCCTCGGTTGGGTCCTGGCCTTTGTAGTCGGGACCAGAAAGTTTCAGGCGCATGTTAGCCTCAAGCAAATCCTGATCCACGCAACTGCTCTCAAGGAACAGGATATTTAGCTCGGGGCCAGCGCGGTTGCGAATATGGTCAACAATCGCTTTGCGACGTTCCATAGTGCTGTTGGTCGCATCGAGGATACCAATACTGCCACCTTCCTCCAAAATATAATCCAACAACTCATCAAGAGTGTCCAGGGCGACCTGCTCTCTCATCTTGACGGCACGCTGATTCTGGGGGTCAAAGAAGTCGGCGGTTTGATCCATAGGTTCCGGGGAAGCTTCAATGATAGCTTCTTCATTCTCACGAGACTGTGCAGGGCCTGCGTCGATCGAGGGCACAACAGTACTTTCGTTTTGAGAAACTTGTTCGGGCTCTTCTCCATTCACGAGAATCTTGGTTGGGACCGCTGGAGGGGGAAGCGGTGCCCCGTTCTCGGGCGGGGAGACATCTGATGAGTTCAAAGTGGTGCCAACGCTGACACTCAACCGGCGCACTGAGTCAACGAGATCCTTGTGGAAAGCACTTGGTTTCCGATCCTGGCCACGATCAGCCGGGGCAGGTGAGGGGGACTTTCCAGCGGCCACACGGCGACGCTGTCCAACATTGAAGATTTCGGTGTCATGTTGGAGCCAGTTCAAATAGCGGGCCAGCTTCTTGGTAATGTAACTTTTGCCTCGGGCCGGGAGGCCGACCATGACAATGACCAGCTTGGCGCCGACATCCCGCTGGGCAATGCGGCCATCTGGAGATACCTTGGACTTGGTCAATCCGGGGATATCGAGAGTAGTTGCTCGCACTCGACTGGGAGTACCAGGAGGTTGATAAAGGCCCGATCTGCGAGGATCATATTAGTCACCGTTTGCCAAGCATATCTATGCAAGTCCCGAGACAGAAAACGTAAAACAAGGGGTTGAATAGTCCGGGGTAAGGTAGATGAGCTCAGAATAAGAGTGCAAAGAGTCCCAGAACTGGACAGAACCCGAAGTGAGCCGATCAAGGCTCGTTCTGATAGGCTCAAACATAGTAAAGTGGAAAGGTTCTAGACGAAAATCAACAAGACTCACATCTGTGGAGACGGAGGTGCGGTAGAAACCGGAGTGTCTGTCAAAGCCGTTCCGACTCCGCCCTTGGGCGGCAGTGAAGATTTGTGGGAATCGGAATGCAGCTCGTTACCTAGCGCTCGGTTGACCACAGTTTTTGGAGGTAGAAGAGCTCCTTCTTTTCCCGATCCCGAGCCATTAGATGTGCCGTTGGGTTTAATATTAATCCTCTGGTCCCCCGTCTCAGGCGAAGTGGCCGACGTCATGGCCGACCGGGCAATGCTAGAATGTTGCGCCATCCCACGGGGGGATGTTCTGTTTGTTTATTAAGAAGGGTATCGTTTCGCTCTTTTCAGAGCTTGTTCACGAGTTGTCTCAAGTTGATAAGAACTTGTATCACACCTGGGCAACTGGTCAAAAAAAGTGTGGTGAGAGAGGAGAGAGAAAAGAAAGTGTGTCCACGGAGGTTTGGATGAGTCAACCAACGGGACCACCGGGTCTGATATTGACCACCTGGGATAGTCAAGGGAATTTGAAATATTCAAGGGATTGAAAGAATCAAAGAGGTTGGTTTTTTTTTGGATCTGGGGTTTCTTTTTGGTGCAAAGATATTTTTATAAATTTTTTTTTCCCCCCTTCAACGTGTGGGGAATACAATATCACTCTCAAGAACAGTGCCAAGGACGTCAAAGAGACCTTAAAAAGAAATACTTTGAAATGATGAAATCAGGATGCAGGTTAGATTTAGTTCATAGGGTGGATCGATGGCTTAAAGATCGGCCATATATGATGTCAAAGTGTATACAAGCTTTGGGAAGAGAGCAAGATATTCAGGTCTAATACAGGATTAAACAGATCTTATATATATATCGTAGACACAATTGGAGGTCTCACAAAATCATGCAAGATGTATCGGCCCTATCTGTAATAGAGAATGCTTGGCTAAAAGTATACAGATTCGAAGAAAACAGGGAGTATCGAACCATACTCAATCTCACCCCTGTGTACTTTGCCCTGCAATATCCTCATAACCCACCGAAGTGCTCATAGCCGTTTGTCTTGGTGGGGGGTATCAGTACTCCGTACACAGTTAATTCCAGATATGGCCGGCTCAACAAAAGCACACATAATACTCCGTATTTGGAATCGAACTCAGCCTCCAGTGAATCAAACAGCACTAACGATTGAGACACCTTGTGTGACCTGAGTCTCACCGCTCGGGTTGATCCATACTCGGCTTCCTTGGCGACTTTCGGTCATCAACACAACAGATTGATCTCCGACCAACTGTAGACGTCCGTTGCTGCACACCTATGTCCGCTGCCGTAAGCCCCGAAAATGGTCACCCATATTCCGTGGTCAGGTGCGGAATCCTTGGCGCTTGGCGGTAACGCAGGGGGTATCACAGATAGCATGCCTAGAAGATAGGCTCCAGGGATATTAGATATGGTGGCTGAATCGCGTGCAACCACATAGAATGTCCGTTATCACTTGCTCAAGTTCAAGGTCAAGCCAATCAAGCATGCGTATGCCGCAATACTCAATGCTGTCAAGACCAAGACCGCATTTCCACTGGTACGGAATTTGTGCCGACGGATCCCATCCTCCCCTACTTCAGAGAAGAATTGTCTGTTTCCCTGCGAGCGGCGGAAAAGTCCGATGATGAGAACACCCGTGCCGTATATCGCGAACAGAGCCCCAATACTGTAGAACTCGGCGGTGAAAATCTTGAGTACGACGAGGGCGAAGGAGAACTGAGAAAGAGCGGTTCGGACATAGGCTCCCTCAAAGGTGCGTTGAGCCGCGCGCATCTCAACCATTTCATCTGAGGTCAGCACAGCCGAACGGGCTCGGTGCATTCGAAGGCGATAACGATCCGCTGCACGACGCTGAGACAGTCAATACTACGAGTTAAGGTAGAGATGAAGAATATGGGGTAGACGAGATATTACAGTAAACACACCTCAAACATGGTTGAATCTCTTAAGAACAAATGAAGGTCGAGAGTCAATATATTGGGGGAATAATATCCGGACTTGATAAATTCAAGGAAGTTGGGTTCCGCAGGAGATTCTTAGATAGCGGGCACCTCACGTGGATTGGATATGTACCTACTCCGTACAATATAGGTACTTAGGTACCTAGGTATTATATTACAAAATATATGCTAGACAATAAATACAAATACAATATATACAATATATACAATATATCCTATTTTCTCTTATTCTCTTATTCTCTTATTCTCTTATTCTCTTATTTTTCTTATTCTCTTATTCTTTACATATAATACCAAATATTTTCCACCAATAAAGTGATGCCAATTCCAATTCCTCGGCAATTGAAAATTCCCCAAAGGAAAAAAAAGCGGCCATGTTCCCCACACTCCCCAGAGTCGATGTATCTTTCTCCAATTTACTTCTTCACCTTTCCCCCCTTCCACATTTCCTCTCGAATTACTCCGTCTCAACCTCTATAGCACCCCTCCACTATCACCCAATCCACCCTTGCGGCGTGATTGAGAATGACGAAAGTATTCGATGCGGCAGAAGGTATGAGTTCTCCGCACCGCTTGAACCCCCCCCACGCGGGATGTTTCGACTGACTGAAATAGTCGCAAAGCACAACACACCTGAGAGTTGTTGGGTGGTTCTGTACGGCAAGGTCTATGATGTACGCTTTCATGTTATACGATCCTCATTGTGCATTGCACATTCCCCCGGCCACGTCTGACTCTAATCTAGGTCACCGATTTCCTGGGCAGCCACCCCGGCGGTGCAAAGATCATTTTGAAACTCGCGGGCCAGGATGCCACCGAGGAGTATGATCCTATTCACCCGCCGGGTATTTTGGAGGAGGAGCTTAAGCCTGAGGCATGCTTGGGGACAATCGATGCTAGCACATTACCAAAGCAGCAGACCTCTGAACCTCAAGAAGAGATCGAGGGTCCACCACCTATGGAGAATCTTCTCAATTTAGACGAGATTGAGGAGGTGGCTACCAAGCAAGTGAGCAAGAAGGCCTGGGCATACTATTACTCCGCGTCCGACGACCAGATCAGCAAGCGCTTTAATAATGAGGTTTACCGGTCAATTCTCTTGCGACCTAGAGTCTTTGTGGATTGCACAAAGTGTGAGCTGGACACGACCGTCCTCGACCATAAACTGAAAACGCCTATTTATGTGGCTCCCGCGGCGATGGCCCGTCTAGGTCATCCGTCCGGTGAGGCCGGCATCGCAGAAGCATGTCGTAGCTTTGGAGCCATGCAAATCATCTCCAATAATGCTTCCATGACACCGGAGCAGATCGTCAAAGACGCTGCTCCGGATCAAATATTTGGCTGGCAGCTTTATGTTCAGATTGATCGCAAAAAGAGTGAGACGATGCTTGCCCGCATCCAGAAGCTCAAGGCGATCAAATTCATTGTCCTTACTCTCGACGCCCCGGTACCAGGAAAACGCGAGGATGATGAGCGGACGGGGATGACCGGACGGACCGCTGCCGTGCCCAGTGGCGTGAAAGTCGCCGAACGCGCGTCAGACGATACCCCCAATCCAACCGAAGGATCTGGAGGTGTCGGCCAGCAATTGTTCGCAGGCACCGATCCTTCCTTGACATGGACGGATACTTTGGCCTGGCTTGCCACTCAGACGGATCTGCCAATTGTATTGAAGGGCCTGCAGACTCACGAAGATGCATACCTTGCCTCCCTCCACGCACCCCAAGTTAAAGGTATCATTCTCTCCAATCACGGAGGACGCGCCATGGACACTGCCCCTCCGGCGGTTCATACTCTCCTGGAGATTCGGAAATACTGCCCCGAGGTCTTCGACAAGATTGAGGTGTATGTGGATGGGGGTATTCGTCGCGGCACAGATGCCGTCAAGGCTCTCTGCCTAGGCGCGAAGGCAGTTGGCCTTGGACGCCCGGCTCTATGGGGCTTAGCGGCGGGTGGAGTTGACGGTGTTCGTCGAACATTGCAGAGTAAGTTGACTGGGTATTCGGTCTGGTTCTATTTCTAACTCTGTGATAGTCCTGAACGATGAGATCAAAACATGTATGCGGTTGCTTGGAGTCGAGCGGATTGATCAATTAGGGCTTCAACATGTAAGTGTCCTCTCATCACTTCATCTTTTCTTCTACTAACTCTTCTCTTAGATCAACACGCGTGTTACGGAGCAGCAGATCTACGATGGTCCTACTGCTCTCGAACCCTTACGGCGCGCATTGCGTGCGAGACTGTAAGGGGAGCAACCAATGTTATATACTCCAAATGTAAATGTGTTTATCTTCATATAATTCGACTACCTCGGTTCTTATTATCTTGCATCCCATTCGACACTTTCAATATCCAAAAATCTTTTCTCTTGGTTTCGCCCGTTGGCCGTTGGCCCACTATTCACGCCACCCTAGTCCATCTCCACCCCCCAACCCGCACAACCAAAAAAAACCCCCTTCTCAGGAGAAGAAGGGGAACGAAAAAATAGTTTCCCTGGGAATCGAACCCAGAACCTTTCCGGAACACTTGCTTGAAGCAATTGTTAACGGAAAATCATAACCGCTAGACCAGGAAACTGATTGATGTGAGACGAGACCCGTTATGTTATTATGAGCCCAACCTCATTTTCTATGCATAAATATCCTCCTAGGCAATCCATGGATGGTCAAAAAGATTATTCATCAAAATATCTTATAAATCTTTAGATCGTCTTCTATTATAATGTACATATGTATTTACCTAGGTAGAATTGGACTATTAATACATAATGTACATATGTACTTCCAAGGTTATTACCAAGGTACATCCCGAGCCATCTATTCCCCGCATCTCACTGTTCCCTTCCTCAATCTCACAATGGCTGTAAACATCCTACAATGGTTTCCTCGTACAACCGCTCCGTTCATTGCTAATGCACCAATGTTTGGATTTGCCGATGCCGGCCTAGCAACTGCTGTCACAAAAGCCGGAGGATTCGGTATAACAAACCGACCTGGTTGCAGATATCAAACTGACCATCTATAGGGTTTATTGGCGGAGGCTTTGATTTCCGATCTGAATCCACCCAGCTCCTAGGCCTGGATACTCAGTTGACAAGTGCCCGCTCTATCCTCGGTTTGACCGATGGCCAACCATTGCCGCTTGGTGTCGGTTTCATTACCTTCCAGCCAGACGGGCTTATTGACAATGCCATTCCCATACTCCAGAGGCATCGAGTAGCGGCAGTCTGGCTGTCCTTCCCTCGGGCTGACGCCGATCATCTTCCTATCCTACAGGCCATTCGAAGGGCCCGGGAGAGTTCTGAGTGGGATATCAAGGTTTTTGTCCAGGTAGGAACTGTCAAAGCTGCAGAAGAGGCACTTTGGCAGGGAGTGGATGTTCTAGTGATCCAAGGAACCGATGCAGGGGGGGCATCAGTGGGCCCAGGGTGCTAGTTTGATATCCCTCTTGCCTGAGGTGCGAGACCTTCTGTCGAAGACTCAGAGTACAGACACTGCTATCCTGGCAGCCGGTGGCATTGTGGATGCGAGGGGCTGTGTTGCTGCTCTCGGCCTAGGTTGGTTGTTCCGTACTTTATTGTCGTAACTAGTTGACAGAAATAGGTGCCGATGGGATTGTTATGGGCACAAGGGTACGTCTTGCTTTTTTTCCTCGGGCATGGGGCCTTGCTAATCGGGTCCAGTTCGTCGCAACCTCGGAATGCCCTGCGCCGTCTGAGATTAAGCAGACCATTGTGTCGGGGGTTGATGGTGGAGTCTCGACCATCAAGTCCATCCGACATGATGTATTTCAGTCAACCGATCTTTTTCCGAGACAGTACGATGGTAGGGCTGTCATCTGTGCTAGTTACCAAGATTCTCGGGAAGGGGTCAGTGATGAGGAAATCATCCGACGGTACAATGAAGCTAGAGAAGCTGGCGAGCATCAGCGGAGGACAGTATGGGCGTGAGTATCCCGACTCTATTAGTCTCATGGGTTTTCCGTGTTAATGGCTTTGATAGTGGTACCGGTATTGGAGGTATCAATGCGGTAGTCTCTGCTGAGCATGTCGTGCAGTCTACTCAACAAGAGGTGAAGGTGATATTGGAGCGGTTGAGGGCAAGATTTTAGCTGTATATGCCTAGTATCTATTTGGTATGTCTTCTCTTATTTTAGTATGGAAGCAAGATATCGGTCTTATTGCAATATATACCGACCTAAATATGTATATATACATGAGCATCAGAGGCAGCACAAACTACACTATGAGAACAAGGCCAATCCGAACAATCAATCACCAACCCAAACACAGGCAATAATATCTCTACCGTCGAAAGTAGAAATTGGTGTCAGATCGAGATCGACAAACGGGCGTAGGCCGGACTATCTCCCCTCTCCCCCTCTTTATTCTCAATCTCAGCTCTCAAATCCTCAACGTTTGAAGTGACAGTCTCTACCTCTTAGTTTTCTCTCCCACAATCACACACTCTTCGAGCAAATCAAGATTCACGACCGTGTTTGGTCAGCCTTGAAGTTGGAACCTTGGTGTTCCCTTCTGAGCTGCCCGCGATTTATCCCTCGATTTATTCCCGCCCGCCCAGTCACGAATACAACGTCGAATCGTGAATTTTTAACCGGGACGTGCAAGAGGATATCCCCTACTTCTACCACCCTCACAATACTCGACTTGACACCCAGGGACGGCCAATTCGCGATGAATAAGACTACACCCTCGCCGAGCCCCGTCCCCAAAGCTTCCCCAGGCTCGAAACCTTCTCCCTCGCCGACCGCAGGCACAAAACGCAAGAGGAATGTCCCAGCAAAAATACTATGCCGTCAAGGCGGGTCACAAACCGGGTATCTACTATGGATGGAATGACTGCCTGGCTCAAATAACGGGATTCAAGGGAGCAATCTGTGAGTGCGCTCTTCGCAGTGGTTCTTCCAATAGGCGTGCAAACTAGGCCAGAGACTGACATATAACCTCTTCAGTCCAATCTTTCCCCTCACAAGAAGCAGCCAACGCGTTTTTGAATGGTACCAAGCCCCCAGTCGAATCGCAGAGCTCGGAGAACACACGATTCTATGGAATCCAAAGGGGCCGGGTTACTGGGGTATACACAGACTGGACAACAGCACAGGAGCAGATTCGTGGGTTTCCGCGACCTCGATATCGCAAGTTCTCCACCCGTGAAGAGGCAGAGGAGTTTGTACGGGAAGGACAAACGCAGCCACCAGTCGGGTTCGGCGTGGCAACCGGGCCTCATGGGTTAACGACCGAAAAACCGAAAGACGCAGAAGGGGTCGAATTTGCGCCAGGCGAAGGCCCATTGCCGAAAGGAGCAGAAGATGGGTTTGACCCCAACGTCATTTTAGACCCAGCCACTGGCAAAGTGGTGTACAAGACCGCCCCCCCAGATGGCAGCGACAAAGACACAATCAACAGGTATTCCAGGGATGCTCCGGATCTACACCGATGGGAGTTCATTAAGGAATGGTACTCCACTAGCATCGGCCGGGGTAGGGGTATACTTTGGGCCTGGCGATTCAAGGTTCGTACATGCCCCCATATCTCTATTTTCCACCATTCCTTCTAACTTCCGTCACTTATCCCAGCAGAAATGTATCGGAGCCACTAAAAGGCAGTCGTCAAACGAACCAGCGTGCTGAATTGACCGCGATCCTTCGGGCGATTGATATTGCACCTCGGCACCGAGATGTAACCATAATCACCGACAGTCGATATTCGATTGACTGTGTTACTGTATGGTTTATCAACTGGCGTCGCAACAATTGGATGACCCGGGACAAGAAGCCGGTTGAGAACAAGGACCTGGTGGAATCGATTTTGGTCAAAATCGAGGAACGCAATGACCTTAAGGTGAAGACCTTGTTTGAATGGGTTAAAGGTCATAATAAAGACCCGGGCAATGAAGAGGCCGATAAATTAGCCGTTGATGGAGCCCAAAGGGGAGTGACTGCTAAGGCAGAGGCACTACATGTGGCCCAAGAGGTGCCGGATGAATTGTTTGATGAAGATTTTTAGGGCATGTCATTGCGAAACAAAAGAGAGCATCTTGTATCCATTCGAATAGTGATATAGTAATGTGCAATGTGTAGAATATACCTCCTTAAGTCAATTGATATGTAATTTCCTACCTAGGTATGTAAACATCCCGAGTCAGATGCCAAGACTTGGGATGTTTTCCCACAACGCCAGAGTTCTCTCCTTTTCTCCTCTTCTCCTCTTCTCCTCTTCTCTTATCTTCTCGTCTTTCACCTTCATAGCATACGAATGCTAACATTTGCTCTGAACCCATTTGAGTACATCCAAATATCCAGATGAACTTGTCTACAATCAAACAGGAAATTCAAACTATGATTCAATAACATTTGCTTGTACTCGTTCAACCTTGACATACAACAACAGACAATTTGTCTAAGACTCTAGGTCCCAACTGATCTGACTCTGAATCCGACATATTCATCTTAGTTAACACATTTGGGCTCTCATTTCAAATACAACTCAGAACATTTTCAAGCGGGATATAGTACAGACCAAAATGCCGACACTCGCTTTGATCGACTTCAACATTGTCTGCGCGACGCTCGGGGGCTTTATTTCCCTCTTCGGACTAGTCTCGTACCTTTGCAAGGAGCAGTTCTACCTATCCGAAGCATGTAAGCGTTAAGTTATCCGAGTGGTATCACCACATTTGCTAACAGGAAATAGTAATCTCCCTGCTAGCCGGAGTTTTATTCTCTCCTCATGCAGCCAATTTCATCAGACCAGATGACTATGCACTCCATTCAGAAGAAAACCTGGAGGCAATCACTTTGCATTTTACCCGCCTAGTGCTAGGTGTGCAGCTAGTCCTGGCCGGAGTCCAGCTCCCAAAGCGGTATCTGCAGATCGAATGGCGGAGCCTAGGGCTACTCCTCGGACCAGGCATGGCTGCTATGTGGATGTGCAGTAGCCTAGTGATCTGGGCTATGGTTCCGAATTTCAAGTTCCTTCATGCCCTGATCATCGGCGCATGCGTGACCCCAACCGACCCCGTTTTGTCCAACTCCATTGTCAAGGGAAAGTTTGCTGATAAACATGTTCCCCGTGAGTTGCAGAGAATTATTATCGCTGAATCTGGCGCTAATGATGGCCTTGGCTATCCATTCCTTTTCTTTGGGATCTATCTCCTCCAGTACACTGGGATGGCAAGCCAGAGCTATAGCGGTGGCGCTGGGAAGGCGATGGCGTTGTGGGTCTATGAGACCTGGGTATACACGATTCTGTTAAGTGTGGTATACGGAGCTCTGGTTGGTTTCATTGCGAGGAAGTTGTTGCACTGGGCAGAGGAGAAGCGCTATGTTGACCGGGAGAGCTTTTTGGTGTTTGCCATTGCTCTTGCAGTGAGTTTACCTCAAAACCCCCTCTCCCCCCCCCAAAGAAAGTGCTTTGCTGATCTCTCAAATAGCTGTTCATTGTGGGAACCTGTGGCTTGGTTGGGACAGATGATCTTCTTGCCTGTTTCATTGCTGGAAACGTATTCACGCAAGAGTAAGTCATAAGTCACCTCGACATGGGTTATAATATCACGAATGCTAACAGAGACAGTGACTGGTTCCGCCTTGAAACCATGGACGATTCCCTCCAACCGACAATTGATATGCTTCTTAACCTGTCCGTCTTCATGTGGTTTGGAGCGGTCTGTCCCTGGTCATCCTTCCTGAACAACAGCGTGATTCCAATCTATCGGCTCATCTTCCTGGGAATATTGATCCTCCTAGTCCGCCGCCTCCCGATCGTCTTCGCCATGCACAAATGGATCCCGCAAATCGACCACGTCGCTCAGGCTGCATTCGTCGGCTTCTTTGGTCCCATCGGGGTGGGCGCCATCTTCTACCTGTCAGTCAGCCTTGAATTCCTGCGCAAGATCCAAGTCGAGGGCAACGTCCCAGAGGACGTAAAGCAAGTCATGGAGACCATTCAGGTTGTGGTCTGGTTCCTAGTAATCTGCAGTATTGTAAGTTCTCCCCGATCCAATCCCCACATCCTCCTATCTTATTCATCTTCTAACCTAACCTAGGTTGTGCATGGCCTCTCAGTCCCCGTTGGAAAAGCCGGCTATAACCTCCCCGCAACCATCTCCAACGTCATCAGCATCAGCACCAGCACATACGAGGAACGCGAACCGGTCCCCATCTCAAACACCAGTCACACGCACAGCACAGCAACACCTCCCACAACGGCACCTCTCACAACGGGGGAGGATGCGAGTTACCGCAGCCGCAAGCGTGGTTTCCGGAGCGCAATCCCCCGCCCGCCATTCTTTGGCATTGGTGGCTCGGTGATCCCTCCTCGTTCGCCGTCCCACCAGCCCGGCGTGGGTCAGCCCGATGAGCCGGAGAGACATGTTCAGCTGGTTATTCATCAGACTACGAGCGGGGATAGCAAGCCTCAGCCCTAGCTTTGCATCTGGAAATTCGATTGATCCAGGCGGCTATACTTTACTTTGATTGGATATCTCCAATTGCTTGATCATCCGTATCATTATATCTCCTGCTTTTACCCAGAATTTTAGACAGCATGCATAAGCATATTGTTTTCCGCGGTCCATTTCAACAGCATTATCGGGGATTTTCCTATGGGTTTGCATATTTAACCGTCTCAATATGTACAGCTTTGTGTGTATGGTGATTTATCCAAATGTGTACATAGTCAATACATACATAATCCCATTGGTAAAATCTCTACCAAACGTCATCAAATTGATACAGTCTGTAAGTAGTCCGTAAGTGGTTTCATCGAGGTTGGTAAAGCCTAATATCAACATTGAAGTGATATCGTCACAAGAATTGAGGTTGGACAGTATGAATAAAATACTGCATTTGAAGTGATAATAACGCCATGCGATAAATATGGAAACCCGAGAGTACAAGAACTAGATAGATACAAGGGAGACGCAACGAAGCTTTACACAGGCCTTAGATAACCCACAGCGCCATGCCCCGACCCTCATAGAAGATCTCAGAAGAGTAGCAAATACAAGTGGTGTGCATTGGTATCAAATGTGCCCAGGACATCCGTTTTCCATGCCCTAACTAAAGGAAACTTCATAACCTCGTCAAGGTGTTTGACCTGATAACCAAAGATAACCTTTCCACCCATCCCGAAGGGTACCAGAGACCATGTGCTCTGATTGAATTCATGTGTTCTTTTTTTGAATTTGTTTCTTTCCTTGTCATTCCTTCGATATCATTACACGTCATACCGAAAAGCAAAATGATAACGCCGTTGATGGGTCCGCATCGAGATCGTGAACCCATCGTGATTCTGAATTCATGATTGCAAAAGGCGAGAGATAAAACGCGATTTAAGACAGGCTGGCGTGCAGATCGCGGGCACGGCGAGCGAGGGGTGAAATAAGTCGCAGGATTGGGTCGTGCGGGTTGCGCTCAACGACTGACATATACAGGGTATTGAGGCGCTGACTCATGATGTCCAGAATGCGAGGTGCGACTTCGCGGAGATCGGTGTCCTAAAAAGCCAGAGTTAGTCAACATGATATGAATATTTGAGATAGAATAATGACATACCCTGGGGTTCACGTTTTGGAGAACCACCTCGAGCCAGTGGAGGCGCTGGCCAATGTTGGTCTGCATGGTAGTGGTGACAGCAACGGCCACGGAGAGCATGACGATCGCAGAAAGTCGGGACAAGTAGGTTGGAGAAATGTGGACGAAGAAGTTGTCGAACAGGTCAGCTTGCTGGTTCGATTGGAGCCACTAGCAAATTTAAAGTTAGTAGGGACATCGAATATATGGGAGTGATTTGAGACGAACCTTGATAGTGCCCTGCTCGTAGTGACCAGTATTGATAAGCTGGACGATATCCCCCATTTCGATTTCCTCGGGGGATCGCGCGATAGGGGAAGCGACAGGAACCGGGGCCGGGGCCTGAACCGGCATAGCCTGAGTCTGAAGCCGAGGCTGAGACAGCGGCTGCGACATGCGCCCCTGATTCTCACTTGGCTGTCTAGTCGAAGAGCGCTTGTTGACGTTCAAGATCTCACGGTGGGCGATCTCGTGCTGTGGGCTTTGGCTCTGCTGAATTTGGTGGCCCTGGTTCGCGGCCAACAAGGAAACGGTCTTGGACAAGCCACGCAGGGCGGCCGACATCTCCTCGATCTTTGCGGTATCACTCTGGCGCTGGGATTCGTAGTGGTTGATCTGGGCCTTGAAATGGCGTTCCATATCAGACTCCACCTTCTTTGTGGTACGTGCCAAGCTCTCAAGCATGGGGGCAAGCGAAGACTGCATGACCCGGCTAACTTCCGTCTCAATGCGAGGTGCAAGCTTCTGTGCAACCGAATCGGAGATAGCCTTCACCACAGGGGGTTGCTGCATAGCATTGATGACAGCCTTGGGAAGAACCTGCCGCAACTCTTCATTGAACGCTCCACCAAGCTGTTGAGAGACAGCGCCATTAAGCTGCTTGTTGACTGCTGCAGAGGTGGCATCGGCGATGACAGGAATAACATCGGTCTGGATACTGGCTGAAACAATACGCGCTAAGTTCTTCTCGACGTTGTCGGAGAGCGTGCTAGAGACTAGGCGCAACACTTGGTCTTGCTTGGCTGACGAGGCAGCATCCCAGCTGCGACGTTCATCGTCGAAGCGACGATGGAGGTTCTCAAACTCATGGCCAAGACTCTTGTTGAATTCGCTTGAAACACTACCCTGCAGGGTCTGAATGTGTCTGCTGAAAGCTTCATTTGAGAAACCGAAACCAGGCATGGCTTGTTCGGCGGCCTGAGTCGCACCCATCGCCGTAGTAGAAGAGGCAAGAGTCTCGAACTCTCTGGCAGGGGCGGAGGGGACTGGCAGAGGTTCGACACCAGTAGTAACGGATGGCTCCTTTGCCTTGGCAGCTTCGGCAGCAGCGGCAGCCTTCTTCTTCTTCTTCTTTTCAGACTTCTCAACCACGACAGGTGCCGCTGCTGGCTCACTGGGCTCTTCCTTCTTCTTGGCCAACTTGGTAGGCGAAGC